TAAGCCAATTTATAGGCCCAGAAAGTAGATTGTTGTTTTGTTATATGCTATTGAATCAAGTGCTGGTACATAGCGACCCCATGCACAACAGAACAAAACACTGCTCAGCCCTGTGCTATCTTCACAATTGTTATGTTTAAGCCCATTGTTGTGGCTACTGTGTCAGTCTATCTTTTCCAGGGTCTTTGTTCTTTTGATAGTCATGGTACTTTAAATATTCTTCACCAACATTGTAATTCAAATACAAAGTGACATCTTTGCAACACTTTGAAAAGGTCTTGTGCAGCAGATTTGCCCAGTGCAGTACAGTACATCTTTGATCTTCATCAGTGAGATAGTTAAGGTTTATTATGCCAACCTGGCTGATAAAACACATGTGGGATTAATTGAAGGTTGGGGAGCTAAATGGCTCACTGAGCCTCACCTTTCTAGTTCTAGGGTCTCTTGCTCTCATGGTGGGACCAGGGTGCAGCTGCCTTAGCCAGTTCCCTGCTTCAGCTGGCAAGGCTCACTTCCTGCAAGACATCCCTGAGGAGTAGCCACATGGATCTACCCCGCTGCAGCCCTGGGTGCTGGAGCAGCTGCGTGGAGATGCCTGCCAGCGCTGAGATGCTTACACACTCATTGATTCGGCTTTCCTCCTGCAGTCAGCGTCATTGTGTGCTTTTTTGTGAGATTGAGGAGGACTTTGTAGATCATATGGGCTAATGTTGGACTTATGGGCTTGGACAGCACTGGGTTGAGATGCTTTCTTAATGTACACTTACCCTTTATACAAGACTCTATGTTATATACATATGAGTTTCTGTGGATTTGTTTCTCTAGTCTACCCAGACTAACACAATCAGTAAGTGCCTCAAATCCTCTTCCTTTTCAGCAAGCAATCTCTGCATATCACAGGTTTAGTGAGCCTTTCTCCAATCCTAATGCCTTGTTCTTCATATAGTCCAGCTCCTCGAATTATTTACTCAGCATACAGATTAAACAAGTATGGTGAAAGAATGCAACCTTGATGTATACCTTTCCTGATTTCAAGCCACACAGTATCCCTATTTCTTCCCCCCCCCCCTATTTCTTTTTAAAAGATTACCTCTTAGTCCGTGTACAGGTTCCACAGGAGCACTAAAGAGTGTTCTAGAGTTTGCGTTCTTTTCAATGCTATCCACAATTCGTTATGAACTATGCAGTTGAATACCTTTATGTTTACACAAATAAGGATCTTTCTGGTATTCTCTGCTTTCAACCAAAAGCCATGTGATATCCCTTATTCCACATTCTCTTCTGAATCTGGCTTGGATCTTTGGCAGCTCCCAAATGATGTGCTATTGCAATTGTTTTTGAAAGACGTTGAGGGGAAATGTACTTGGATGCACTATTAATTATATTATTCAATAATTCCCACCTTCTGTTGGGTCACCTTTCTTTGGAATTGCCCAATTACAAATCTCTCCCAGTTGGCTGGCCAGGGAGCTGGTAGCCAAATTTCTTGGCATAGAGTGCTTCAAGTACTTCATCAGTTTGCTAAAATATTTCTATTAATATTCTGTCAATTCCTGGAGCCTGGTTTTTTGCTAACGCCTTCAGTGCAACTTAGATTTCTAGATCATATACTGCTTTGTGAAATGGTTGAGGGTTAACCAGTTCTTTTTTATCCCAATAACTCTATATTCCTTCCATCTTCTTTGAATGCTTCCTGCATAGCTCAGTATTTTGCCTATAGAATCCTTCGATATCGTAACTCAAAACTTTTAATATTTTCTTCATTTCTTTCAGCATGAAAGCATATTTAAATATGCTGCATTTCCTGTAAAGTGTGGAAGGAGAGACACTTTGTTCCCTTTGAGAGCCACTGGTTTAGAGACAACGCACAATTTACAGGAAATGAAAGAGGGCATTAGGCCCATGTCAACACCGCAAAAGGGATAAAGTCCACAAACTGATTTGAGAAAGTGTATCCAACAAAGTCCCTAGTTTCTTCAATAAGTTGAAAGGGGAAAAAATGTCCTTTAACAAAGGAGACATATCAACCAATTGCGGTGTGTGTCTTGAACTATAAACACATATATTTGCATCTTTACTTAAATGTATGTATTTACAGTTGAAGACTATGTGTCTGCTTGTGTGTATGTGTGTGCATACATTATCCATTAAAATAAGTTCCATTATCTTTTATTTATATTTTCCTGCAAATTTTTTAGGTGTGTGTGTGTTTCACTATATGAATATGGTAGTAATGAGATTTTTGATATTTAAACCCTGGATATTTTATAAAATGGAATTATTGGAGAATAATTAAAAATGATTATTTGAGAATAATACTATTAGGCATTTTTTATTTCCCCCCTTAAAGAGTTGTTTAGTTTTTAACTGGTGAAATAATATTATTTGATGGGTTGACTTAAAACTAATGGGGTGTTTGTGTAGATTAAACAAGATTGAGTGAGTTATACCCTCCTATTTTCTTGTTTTTTTAGGTAGTAGTTTTATTGAGATATGATTCTTATACTATACAATTTACCCATTTAAGTTTTGCATTTCAATGATTTTTAGTACCGCATATACTTGTGTATAAGCCGACTTTTTTCTGCACATTTTTAATGCAGTTTTTGTGGTAAAATTAGGTGCCTCGGCTGATATTCGGGTCAGTTTATACTTGAGTATTTATGGTATATTCACAGTTTTGCATTCATCAGTAACCACAGTCAAGTTAGTACATTTTCATTACCCCAACCAAAAACCCTGTCCCCTTTAGCAATCACATTAGCACTTCCCCCCCCATTCCTTTTTACCCTGAGGTAACATTGTTCTTACTATCATTATTGATTTGCCTATTCTGGGTATTCCGTGGCAAAAAAATCATACAATATATGGCCTTTCATGGAGAGCAAATGTTTTGAGAATGTTGAGGGTAACGAATGTACAAATGTGCTTTATACAATCAATATATCTATGGATTGTGATAAGATGATTTAAAAATAAAACACCATCAGCTCCAGATGCATGTAATCAGGATAAGCTTTGTCTACTATTAACTACTCAGGACTTAGTATGATGGCACAGAGTACAAAATCATTAATATTTTACAAATAAATAACAGCAAAGGTTATTCTTTGGTATTCTTAGGTATACGCAATGGTCTATTTGTGAGGTTACATGAATTTTATACATTAGCACAATATTTTTGCATGTTTTAATAAAAGAATATAATTTCTAAAAGTATGTATATGGCCTTTAGTGACTGGCTTCTTCCCCATTTAATATTTTCAAGGGTCATCCATATTATAGCACATATCAGGAGTACTTCATTCCACATTTTATTTATTCTTCAATCAAGTTTAAACAAGTTTAAACTTCAAAACAAGTTTAGCATGTTTCTACTTTTTGCCTATTATGAATAATGTTTGTGAGCACATTCTTGCTGGTGCTTGTGCGTGGATGTGTGCTCGCATTCATTTCCCCTGGGTGTGTACCTACTAGTAGCATTGCTGTATCATATGCTAACCCCATGCTGAACGTTGTGGGGAGCCACCAGGCAATATCATTGACAGTCTGAGGGCTCCGGTGTCTTCGCTTTCTTGCCGTCACTTGCTAGTGTCCATCATTTTCATTATAGTCATCGATGGAGAAGAAGTGTCTCCTTGTGGTTTTAAGCATCTTTTTATGTGCTTAATGACCATTTGCATGTCTTCTTTGCAGAAATTTCTATTCATTCCTTTGCCCATTTTTTTTGATTGGATAATTTGCCTTTTTTATTACTGAGTATTGTTATCCTCTGTGTTCTATTCAGTTCGACTTTATATGTGATTTACAAAAATTATCTCCCATTATGTCAGATGTCTTCACTTTCTTGATGGTGCTCTAGGAAGCACTAAAATGTTCTGTTGTTATGTGTAAATTTTAGGTGTCTGTTTTTTCATTTGTTACTTGTGCCTTTGGTGTCATATGTAAGATGTTATGTACCTCTATGTTTTTGTGAAAGGGTTTTAGTTTTAACTGTTATAGTTAGCTCTTTGATCCATTTTCAGTTAATCTCTATTGTATGCAGTAGATGTCATTTCTCTTACACATGGATACCCAATTGTCCAAGCACCATTTGTTAAAAAGACTCATTTTTTCTGTTTGGATTGATTGGGCACCCTGGTCAAAAATCAGTTGACTAGAAATGTGAAGGAATCAGCTGGTCAATTTCTGCATAAACACCTGCTGGGGCAATTCTAGTCTGGCAGGGCATGGCAAATCGACAGTACGTAACAACAGCAGCGAGCTCTCTGTCATCCCACCCCGGCTATAGCTCAGCAGCACACATTGTGGTACACAAATGCTATAAAATATACTTGATAAAAGCATTCTTTGAAGTCGAAGCTAGTTTATGTATCATGCTGGTAAACCTTGGTAAACATTGGTGGTACTGTTCTTTCTATACCTGCTTATGTCCTTGGACAGAAATTTTGGAATAAATTCATTTCTTCTTTGGCCATGGTCTACCATCTTGTTTCCTGCCCAATTTACAATGATCCTTCAAGCCCAGACAAGGTCCAGTTTCATGCAAGCCCCTTCCCATTTCACATTGACCTCTTCCCTAATAGCTTTTATGCTCATTTTAATTTTGGCGGGGAATCTGGTTATTTTCTTACTCAGGTGAGCCTTCAATTAGCTTATAGTTAACACACCAGCTGTAAGGAGCCCTGGTGGCTCTGTGAGTGAGATGTTGAGCTGCCAATTGAAAGGTCAGAAGTTCAAACTCACCAGTCAGCCCACAGGAGAAAGATGAGGCTGGCTGTTCTTCCCATAAAGATTTACAGCCTCTGAAACCCTGTGGAGGAGTTCTACTGTGTCTCCTAGGGTCCCTGAGATCTGGAATTGACTTCATGGCAGTCACAACACCTTATTGACATAATCTCTCTTGTTATTCTGGGGACAAGTGGCACATTGTTTATTTGAATCAAGCATGGTAATTAATAAGACATAGCTCCACTGTATTTCCCCTCTCGCTTTTTCAGGATCATGGCTGCAGTTCCCCAAAATAATCTACAGGAGCAACTGGAGCGACATTCCGCCAGAAAACTTAATAACAAATTAAGCCTTTCAAAATCCAAACCTTCGTAAGTAGTTTGATTTGCTGCTATACAGACACAAACACACTGGATCATGTAGGTGAGATGTCTGACTTACAGTCTTGGTTGCACGGATGAAGAAATGAAACTCAGAGCTTAAGTGATCTTCCTACTTTGCAGATTAATGGTAGAGCATAGTTTTAGTAGTACCTGGCAATAAATTATTCAGCATCTTTACACAGTGCCTGGCACATAATATTTGCTCAGTAAATATTTGTCAAATGAATAAATAGTCCATCTTGCTTTTAATATAATTCTATATCCTTTCCAAAAACTGATTAAGGAAACTACAGCTCTCCAGTTCTGATTCTCCATGCTCAACCCCCTTCACAAGATATCAAATCATAATTTGTTGTTTTTTTATGCACTGATCAGGTGCCAGGCACTGTTCTTGGGGCTTGACTTTAAAGTCCCTATTGATCTTAATATCATTCCTCAGCAGATACCCAGGACTCTTGCCCTTTTTACTTGTCTTTCATATCTCAGCTAGGCATTTTTAACTCCTTTCCCCAGAAAACTTTTATCAGAGAGGCAACCTGCATTTACTTCTCTTTGCCACTTAGGCTGCCCCTTCCTTTGGAGGACCTATTTGTTCAGGACTACCGGTTAGAGAGGGTGTCTCTGCAGATTAGTAAAGCATGACACAGCTCACCGAAAAGTTGGAGGTTTGAGCCCATCAAAAAGACACATGGTAGAGAGACCCAACTGTGTTAATCTTTTTCACACACAGTCATAAAAAGCCTTACAGAGCGCACTTCTGCTCTGGCACATTTCTGGTCACTGTGCCTTGGAATCAACTTGAGATAGTTAAAAGTTTATTGTGTCAACCTGGCCAATAACCACATGTGAGGTTAGTTGAAGGGTGGAGGGATAAATGGCTTGGTGAAACTCGCCTCTCCAGTTCTCGGGTCTCTTGCTTTCTGATGGTCAGGCCAGGGTGCAGCTGCCTTAGCCAGTTTCCTGCTTCAGCTGGCAAGGCTCACTTCCTGCAAGACATCCCCAAGGAGAAGCCTCATGGAATTGCTCCGATGCAGCCAGCCCTGGGTGCTGGAGCAGCCGTGTGGAGACCCTGCCAGCACTGAGATGCTTACACCTTCACTGATTTGGCTTTCCTCCTGCAACTGATGTCATAGTGTGTGTTTTGTGAGATGGAGGAGGACTTTGTGGACTGGTGTTGGACATATGGGCTAATGTTGGACTTGTGGCTTGGGCAGCACTGGGTTGGGATGTTTTCTTGATGTGCACTTACCCTTTACATAAAACTCTCTCTTATACATGAGTTTCTCTGGATTTGTTTCTCTAAAGTGCCCAGATTAACACACAACCCTACAGCAACTGGTTTTTTACCAACCTCAGAAAGTAGTGGAAGTGGCCTGGGTACTCGCAAAACAGACTAAATAGCCTTTGAACATGAAGGGTCAAAGCATACAAATTCGTCTTTATTTAAGTTACCGTATATCTTTTTTTCCCCTGATATGTTTTAAAAATTGGGTTTAGAGATGACTGTGGTTTTTTGTTTATGTAATCAGTTTTATTCAAATAATCTAATTCCTTTTTTTGTGTGTCCCCCCCATTCATTTTTCAGAGGTTTCACTTTCAAAAAGAAAACATCTTTTGATACTGATGTATCTATAACCAGTGTGTCTGTAGCTAAAACACCTGTGTTGAGTGATAAAGATGTTAACATTGCTGAGGTCTTTTCCTCCGGTGAGCCTCTACCTCGCACCCCAAGTCAGCAGACAAGTCTCCATGACTTCTTTACAACTGCTCAAGGGAGACAGCAAGCCACGAGAAGACACTCAAAACCCATGCCACCAGATTTCTTGCAGACCCCACAGGAAAGTGTATATACTGCCCAAGGCACGCTGGCTACAAGGGAGGCCCAGGATGTCACTTTCAAGAAATTGGAGTTCAATTCTTCAACAGATTCTGCGATGGCCATCGATGATTGGGATGACATGGATGACTTTGATATTTCTGGGACTTCCAAAGCCTTTGTTACACCACTCAGAACTCACAACATAAGAGTGAGCACTGCTCAGAAATCAAAAAAGGGCGAGAGAAATGTTGTACAAGCACAGCTTCATAAAGCAGATATGGTAATGGCTGAGGTGACTCCTTCCTCTGCTGAAAGCAAGCAAGTGGATTTGATCGAAGAACAGGACGATGACTCAGAATGGTTAGGTAGTGATGTAATTTGCATAGAAGATGAGCTTCAAAGTGAGGAGACTCAGGACAGTAACTCTTTAAAAACTCATTTGGACGATAAAAGAGGTAAAGATTATGATTTTCTCTTCATTTCAATACGTTGGTTATATTTGTTTATTGAAAGCTCAGCATTGGGCACAGTGGTGAGTATGATACAGCTTTTATCTTGAAAGATCTTAAGATCTAGAGAAATACTTAGTGAACAGTCTGTTGGCCACTTTTGGGGGCAGGAGATATTGATAGAACAGAAGGTTTTATTCTGTGGAGGTTTTCATATTATCAAGAAAGAGAATTCTGTGATTTTACAAATTGAAAAAATCAGGCGCATAGGGATTAAAATCATTTGTTAAAAATCTATAGCTGGTTAGTGGTAGAATTAGAGTCTTTTATGTCGTGCTGCCCCTAATATCAGTATATAATGTGATCTAAACATGCTGTTAAAGTATTCTAAATTACCTTCAAATTCTGAATAGGTCTTAAAGTTATTAAATGTCTAAAACTTAATAATGGAGATCAGCTGTATGTGGAAGTAACCTATCTTTTTTTAAAAATCATTTTATTGGGGACTCATACAACTCTTATCACAATCTGTACATCCATCCATTGTGTCAAGCACATTTGTACATTTGTTGCCATCATCATTTTCAAAACATTTGCTTTCTCCTTGAGCCCTTGGTATCAGCTCATTTTCCCCCTCCCTTCCCTCCCTTCCCGCCCCCCTCCCTTGTAAACCCTTGATATGTTATAAATTATTATTATTTTGTCATATCTTGCCCTGTCCGATGTCTCCCTTCTTTCACTTTTCTGTTGTCTGTCCCCCAGGGAGGAGGTCACATGTAGATCCTTGTAATCGGTTCCCCCTTTCCAACCCACCCTCCCTCTGCCCTCCCAGTATTGCCACTCACACCACTGGTCCTAAGGGGATCATCCGCCCTGGATTCCCTGTGTTTCCAGTTCCTATCTGTACCAGTGTACATCCTCTGGTCTATTCAGATTTGTAAGGTAGAATTGGGATCATGAAAGTGTGTGTCGGGGTGGGGGCAGGAAGCATTTAGGAACTAGAGGAAAGTTGTATGTTTCACCGCTGCTACACTGCACCCTGACTGGCTCGTCTCCTCCCTGCAACCCTTCTGTAAAGGGATCTCCAGTTCCCTACAGATGGGCTTTGGGTCCCCACCCCGCCCCCCTCATTCACAATGATATGATTTTTTGTTCTTTGATGTCTGATACCTGATCCCTTTGACACCTCATAATCACACAGTCTGGTGTGCTTCTTCCATGTGGGCTTTGTTGCTTCTTAGCTAAATGGCCGATTGTTTATCTTCAAGCCTTTAAGGAAGTATCTTATGAAATCGTTTATAAGATTAAAATTTTCGAACTTCTGAATGCCATTATTTACTGGGTCGCAGAGTAGCAAAGCTGGCTTCATCAGTTATGTTGCTATTTCTGAAGAGAAAATTTATTAAAAAGTAAACATAAAACCCATTGCCATTGAGTCGATTTCAGCTCCCAGCAAGCCTATACAACAGGGTAAAAGTGCCCCATAGGATTCCCAAGATTGTAAAGCAAACTGCCACATCTTTGTCCTGCAGAGCCTCTCGTGGGTGTGACCTGCGAACCTTTTTGATTTGTAGGTGATACTTTAGCCACTGCACCACCAACAAGGGAGCAGCAGTTTGGCATTGTGTGTTCCAGAGTAGTCCAGAATCTAGTACACTTTAATGGCTAGGAAGCCTATGTGCTAGAGCTACTTTCTCTCTACACACAGTGATACTTGTGTAATTCCCAGACATATTTGTTGTACTTTAAGCCCCGTGGATCTCAGTGGCCCAATCCTGTTGTGCACCGGGGTAACCAAAAGTCACAGTCCAACTCAAAAGCAGCTAACAACAACAACAATAATCCATATCTAAAGATGAGTCAAAATTGAAAAACAGAAACACAGATACTAAATATAGGTTTCATAACTGGAGACAATCATTAAAATCTCTAAGCAAATCTTTGGCCTCAATCTAGTATTCACTGGATTTAATCCAATTGACTCAATAATCATTTGTGAAGAAATAAGCCAACATAACTATGAAAGGAGAGGATTCATATACAAAGTAGTATTAGCATTTATGACTTTCCTAAAGCATTACTTGGAAGTGCTTGCTTATTCTCTCTTCTTGCTGTCTCATAATTATTGAAATAACCTATGCTTATCAACTGTTTTACTTAAGATAATAGTGAAAAGAAGACAAGCTTGGAAGAAACTGCATTACATCCAATTGAGAAATCTCCATGTGTTGAGCTAGACGAGGATGATTGCTGTATAGATTTTGTTCCACCTTCTCCAGAAGAAGAAATTATTTCTGTGGGCTCTTCCTCATTAAAAACCTTAAGGTAAAGTAGATAATTAATGAACATTTGGTTTTGGCATAGCTTAAATAATTTAGTCTAGTTATATAATATCATTTGTAATATAAATGCATTTTGTGCTTCTGCTCTATTTATTTTATATCCCAAACAAAGTATTTTTAAGAATCCTAATTATACATTTAATTTAATTGGTAGTATTATAAAAATGTAAAGTTATATTATTACTAATTACATAGAACTTAAAAACAATTTTATGTAGATGATTTTGACATAAAGATATGATAAAATAATAATTTATAAATTATCAAGGGTTCATGAGGGAGTGGGGAGCGGGGAGGGAGGGGAAAAATGAGGAGCTGATGCCAAGGGTTCAAGTAGAAAGCAAATGTTTTGAGAATGATGAGGGCAATGAATGTACAAATGTGCTTTACACAATTGATGTATGTATGGTTTGTGATAAGAGTTGTATGATTCCCCCAATAAAATGATTAGAAAACAAGAAGAATAATATATTCCTTAGGATAATGCCCAATTCTTAGATGTGAACAGACACAGAGCTGATCTGTCATTTGGAATACTTGGAACGTAGATGTGGAAAGGGCGTGGAGGCCATATCTGACATCCGCAGGGTGCACAAGGGACAAGAATCCAACTCCTCACTAGCCTAAGGCAGAGGTCAGACACGCCTCCACCCTCCATCCCTCTACCCTTTTCTGACTTCAACCATTCTTCCCACTCCGCTTTGCTGCTGGCTTCAATAATCCTTTGCAGTGGCCCACAGCACTCGGACAATACACACAATCGTTGGGCCTTTTTCAGGGAAGTTATCGCAGCCAGGATCAGAAAACCTTAAGGGTGTAGTCTTTTGTCCACATCAGTGCCTCTGCTCAGCCAGTAGCCAAGTCTCTCTCTAGTCATCAGGTTCTCAGCCATAAGATTCCTTGGACCAGGTAATCCCCACCACCACCACCACTCCCCTGCACTGCCTCAATCACATGTCTCTGCTCTGTCTCAAGACCTCCTGGTCTCAGTGTGGCATGGCTTGTGCTGCCTCCACTTGAGACAGGGATTTCTAATGTGCTCTGCTGGTAACTCTTTTTCCCTGATGATCCTGTGAACTCTCTGTTCGTGTGTCTGAGATGGCTTACTTATGGCTTACTTTTTCTTGTAGCAGGGACATGGTAACTAAAACTGACAGATCCCTTCTATTAGAGTCTCACACATCCTCTTTGCATGGTCCTAGGGTTATGGAGACATGGATGGAAGAGCCATATTAAGAAATTTCATTTTACCACAATGAATTAGTAAATAATATGTCCTTCACCCCCACCCCCAATCTTATAGGATAGTATTGTCCACTGTATTTGGTATCACTAACTGTTCGTATAATTGTAATTATAATTGTAATTAATTGGTGCTAATATGCAGACCAAAACATTTGCCAACTTCTGAGTTATATTGATAATGTTCTTAATGTTGTGACAGTATTATCACTGTCCTTTTCCAAAATGTTTCACTATTAACATAAACTCTGACTCCCAAACAAAAACTCCCCCTGTTCCTCTCCCTCCCACCCCCGTATATTGCTGTTTTTCTTTTTAGGGGTGAGGGAATGAAAGTTTACAGAGCAATTGGTTTTCCATTCAACAGTTCGTGCACATTTGCGGCATGGCATTGATTACAGTCCTCATCCCACCTTGTGTTTACTGTTCCCTTTTACCTTCTTTCCTGTCCCCTTTTGCCTTCTGAGTTTGATCCCTGAGCAAGGGCTGCCATTTTGACATCCTGTGGCTGGTGGCTCTGAGGAGCGCATACCTGCCTGGTGTTACTGCTCCCCATGTACACTGCCTTTTGTGTGACTGAAAGTTGAGCTATGGAAGTGAGTTCAGTTCTAGACTAGAAGTCCTCCTAAGACCCACAGTCTCTGGAGCTGGACCAGTCTATCAGCCCAGTAAGCCTGATCTGTTTTCCTATTTCCAGTTTTGTCCCATACTTTTTCTCCAACTCAATTCAGGACCTCTTAGTGTGATCTTTTTTTGAACCATCAACAGTGGTAGCTAGACTTAATTGGTACTAGTATGTTATGGTAAAAATAGATATTCCCTATAGCCTATCAATAGTTCACATGACTAATTCTTATTGTCACCTCCCTCTCTACCCCAATCTAACTGAAGTCCTACTGGATTTAGGTTTATATCCCATACTGTAAATCAATATTTTTCTGAGAAACAAATCCCTGTAGTATGTCACTTTGTTTAGGGGAGGAAGAAGGAAAGGGAATTGTTTATATGCACAACCTAGTTTCTCTTGGTTTGTATTTTAATGGATGTATTGGGGGATTTGAAGAGGAAAGAAATGTTGAATCATGATCATGACTTTTTTAATGACAAAATTAAGGTCCCTGGTACAGCCATACAAGGGAGTATTGTGCATCAATAAAAAAACAATCACAGCTCTTAAAACACTGCAAGACACGGACAGAACCAGAGAACATTATACTTAGCAGTCTTTCTTATAAAGATAAGTATTTAATAGCACCACTGTTACACTAAAATATAAGGAGGCCGGGGACAGGACTGGGAACAGGGAGTAAGGAGGGAGGGGGGAAAAAAGGAAAGAGAATCACATTTATGGAGGGTTTTTTGTTTGTTTGTTTTAATGGATGGTTTCATGAGATATGATTCCTGATGCCATTTGGTGAGATGGGCTGTGCAACTATATATTTGCTTCTTTAAAAATAATAATGTTTGGGGCTGGGCCCAATCCCAACTATGTGGACACCACCCCCACCCCCTGAAGAATGCACCTCAGGGGACAGCTTGGGGAGAAGAGCACATCTGATTAGAGCACACAGAAGAAACGAAGAGTGATGGAGTGGGAGGGGAGCACATCCTGGCCCACCAAGCCCCAAGGATGATATTCCTGCTCAGAGCAGACAATGCACAGAGAGGACCATAGTGTCGCCCCCACCACGAGACATGATGTCCCTCACTGAACCACAGGGCTGTGAGGGACAACACTGGAGACACAATGTGGGAATTGTGCCCAATCTGACCCCATCACACTGGGGTGAAATTCTTAAGGGCATGCAACAGAGCAGCAAGAGGAGCAAAGTGAAGAAATCCCCGGGGAACATCAAAAATACTTTGGAGACAGAGTGTCGCACCCCATCAGACTCACTGGAAAACACTTGTAAAAGCCAACAGACAGACCTTGAACTTTTACAGGTGTTTCCATTTTTTATTAATGGCTTTCTTTTTATTGTTTGGTTTTATTGGTTTTGACTTCCTTTGTTATTTTGTTTGGCTTTGCCTGGTTTTTGCGCTTATTAATATCTCTGCATGTCCATTGAGATATATGTGGGATAAACAATTTCGAGATGAAAAGAATGGGACCAGTGGTTCTGGGAGGATATGGGAGAAGGGGAGGTGAGAGAAAGGAAAGTGGGGGGTAGGGGGAACCAACCCAAGGACAAAGGAACAACAAGTGAACTAAAATCAATGGAGAGAAGAGCATAGAATGCCTACTGGGACTGAATCAAGGGCAATGTAGCTGCGAGAAATTACTGAAACCCAAATGAAGGCCAGGCATGATGGTGGGCCAAGAGGAAAGTAAAAGGAAATAGAGGAAAAAACCAGGAGGCAAAGGACATTTATAGAGATCTAAATATAGGCATGTGCAAAAGTAAATATATTTATATATAACGAGAGGGGAATGTTTCTATGTACTTATATGTTAAGAATTAAGATTGCAGATGGACACTGGCCCTCTACTCAAGTACTTCCTCAACACAAGAATGCTTTGTTCTAATAATCTGGCATTCTGTGATACCTTCCCAACACAATCGCTGAAGACAAAATGGCTGCATAAGCAAATGCGGTGAAGAAAGCTGATGGTGCCCAGCTATCAAAAGATATAGCATCTAGGGTCTTAAAGGCTTCAAGATAAACAAGCGGCCATCTAGCTGAGAAGCAACAAAGTACACATGGAAGAAGCACACCAGCCTGTGTGATCATGAGGTGTCAATAAGATCAGGTATCAGGCATCTAAGATCTAGAACAAAATCATACCCAGTGTGAATGGGGGTGGGAGGTGGAGTGGAATCCCAAAGTCCATCTATAGACAACTGGACCTCCCCTCACAGAAGGGTCACAGGGAGGAGATGTGCCAGTCAGGGTGTAATATAGCATGGATGAAACACACAACTTTCCTCTAGTTCTTTGATGCCTCCTTCCCCCCACTATCATTACCTCAATTCTACCTTACAAATCGGATTAGACCAGAGCATGCACCCTGCTACAGATAAGAGCCTGCAACACAGGGAGTCGAGATAGATAAACCTCTCAGGGCCAACAAGAATAGTGATACTAGAAGGATTAGGGGAAGGTGGGGGAAGAAAGGGAGAATCAACCATAAGGATCAACCTATAACCCTCTTCCAGGGGGTCAAACAACAGAAAAGTGGGTGAAGGGCTACAGAGCATGATGTAAGATATGAAAATAATAATCTATAATTATGAAGGGTTCATGAGGGAGGGGGAAATGAGCTGATATCAAGGGTTCAAGAAGAAAGAAAATGCTTGAAAATGATGATGGCAGCATATGTGTAAATGTGCTTGACACAGTGAATGAATGTATGGATTGTGATAAGCGATGTAAGACCCCCCCAATAAAAGTATGTAATAAATAAATAAATAATGTTTAAGAACCAGAGTGAAGGCTCACAGCTTTAATAAAAGAAACGTTAACACCCCCCATCCACCACCAAAAATAATTTTTACTGTCCTTTTATTCTTTCCAGTCAAACAGAATTGTGGAAACTTAGAGCAGCGCAAGAGAGTATGGGTTAACATTTTCACTGACTTCAGGTAGAGCATCTGAGCCCTGGGGAAGAGCAGGATGAAGTCTCCAGGGAGGTACAATGGCTGCACTAAGACCCAGTGTACCACTTTCTCCGATGCTATTCTGATTCCTTGTCAAACCCTTGGTGTTATGTATTTTTAAAATCTATATTACACCCACAACGTTTTAGCCACATTAACAGGATTCTAAGTAGAGAGGAGAAATACTCTCCTACGATTTCAACAACCCATTGTCTGTACTTGTGTTCAATTTTGACCCTTCTCTTCATATGTATATGGTGTGCGTGTTGTTGCTTTGTATTGTTATAACCTGAGTTAGTTAATTGTGCCAGCCTGGCCGATAATCACATGTGGGGCTGGTTGAAAGGCGGAGGGATAAATGGGTGGTGAAGCCTCGCCTTTCTAGTTC